TCACTGAAATGCTATATATGCTCTACTCTTAGTGTGGCAGACGTTGATCTGACCGCCGATACACCTCCCAAAGCGTCTGATATTCTGATGTGGATTTGAAACAAGATTAAATAAACATTTATCTAGATGTTGATATGTTTTTATATGGTCTTTTAAATGTGATAAATGAATTAGTATAATTCATGCCAATTTATTTTAGGACGAAAAGTGACTATTTTGGCCCCGGCCTTTCGAGAAAAAGCATTTTCTCTCACAATTCGCTGGTAGCAATGGTTGATATTTTTATCCATACATCACTTTTTTCATTTTTCGCGTGGTTTTTCTCTTTCTTTTATTACGTTCTCTACTTCTTACCATGTCTGACGAGCCACTCACATTGCAACAAAATCAATTACGACGAAGAAAAAAACAAAAAAAGAAATGGATTGAATGACTATTTCAATAAATGTTCGAAGTAATCACCGTGGTTCTCCACGCACAGCTGCATCCTTTCGATTCACTTCGCGAAAGTCTTTTTGTATTCATCTCGGTTTAAGGTGTGCATAAAATCGATCACAGCACCATGTAATGCTTGTGAATCATCTTGATCGTTTAGATTTTCTTTGATCAAGTCAAATAACCAGAAATCACACGGCGATAAATCTGGAGAATTAGCTGGATGTTGTATTATTGTAAACCCTTCTGATTCAGGATAATCAGTCACATCTTTGTGCACATGTGGTCTACCACTATCATAATGGATTTTAATCCCACGAGTTCCATGAGAAGGTCTCTGACGTTTGATCTCGTCGATCAAAGGTCGTAAACACTGGTTAATATAATAATGATGGCCAACAGTCTGACCGCGTTCGATACGATGGATTAGCATGGGTCCGGTGGATTTGAAAAAGATCGAAAACAAAGTTTTCGGTGCAAAACGACTTCCTCGAACAACAGTAGGTGGAGGATCTCCTTTGCTCACCCATGCTTTGTTTGATATCTTTCGACCGATCTGCTTATGGTAGAACCAAGACTCAGCGTGGATAACTCTTGCTGGAATACTCAGTGCGGTACGCGCTTTTATGTAAAAGCGAAAGTTTTCACTAGTCATCTTAAGTTAGAGAGTGGAGAAGGAAAGGCAAAAGAAAATACACGATGATCCGTACTAATACAATTAATGATACAGAAGCATTCCTTGTTATATGTACGTGAAAGCGGGTCGCCAGACATGATAAGAAGTAGAGAACGCACTAAAAGAAAGAGAAAAACCACGCGAAAAATGAAAAAAAATGATGTATGGACAAAAATATCAACCATTGCTACCACCGAATTGTAATAAATGCTCTGATTTTATATGATACCAAAATGCAACTTGCTCAACGCTCGCATAGAAAAGCTTTCTGGTTGTTTATCTTTATAAGAAGCATAGATCTTCCTTGAGGAAAGATAAAAAGCTTGTGCTGGACGGCTTATCAAAAGGTCAGTTTACCACTACATGGTGATAGCTTAGAAAAAAAATGATAGATTTGCTCTTCATAATTGATGTTATACTATTTTGGAAAAAGTTCTGTTTATTTCATATAAGGATGAATATTATGTATGATAAAAAATCAAGAAAATAATTAGTAAGATAAGCACCGTGACCTTGTTGCAATGCTTCACTATACTCTCGTCGAGCTTCCTTCTTTTCTTTCAATTGTGCAACGATTTCACGCTCATCAATTTTAGCTGTGAATGAGTAGATAGCTGCATTCTCTTCAATTGGAAAACAGTAGACAGCTTCAATCGATGTTTGTTCATTATTTTGAAACAATTGTGTAATTGTTACATCAGCAGCAAAGGAGTGAATTTTAGCTTGAATCGGTCGGTCATTTAACTCTTTCTTTGGTATCTTCGAGTTTGTTTCCAGGCCAATGGATTGATTCAGAATGTATTTAAGATCTACCAAAAATAATTGATTACATGTTTGAGTTTAGTAATGAAAAATACAGTTTTATTCGGACATTTTCAACCAAAAACAAAACACAATAGCAATCCTTTCACATCATAAACTTCGATCAAACACCAATAATAAAATTTAGTGTTTCATCATAAAATTTAGTGTTTCATCATAAAATTTAAAAGATAATAATAATCATTCAAAATCATGTAAATCGAGCAATTTTATTCCAGTAACCGTCATAATTAAAACATTAAGTACTCAAGTTTCATATGGTTCCGAAGGGTTTATAGGCGAGGAGAGAGGAGGAGTCGAAAAACTTACACTTACGATTTTCTTCGCAGATTTACGTGAGTTCCACAAATTGACATCTGTACAAACACCACTTTCAAACGTCTTGATAAATATGTTTGCTTATTTTGTAGACATTTTAATGTAATTGAAGAGTATCGAGATATATACGAAGCAAGCTTTGTTCTACAAACTAGTGTATAAGAAGACTAGTGTATAAGAAGACTAGTGTATAAGAAGACTAGTGTATAAGAAGACTAGTGTATAAGAAGACTAGTGTATAAGAAGACTAGTGTATAAGAAGACTAGTGTATAAGAAGACTTGTAATTTGAATTGAGACAGTTTTAATCAAAATACAAAAATGTACTACATAAAAAGTTCTGTACAAACATCGTTCTTGACTTTCATTGAAGATTCGCTCTCAATGAATCCACTTTAAGTCAAAAACAAAATACCTAAATATATATTTAGAAAGTACATCATATTCTCATTCTGGCTGACTACTTTTGGTTCTCTACTGTAACCTGTAAGTGAGCGAAAGTCGAACAGAAATGTTGTGCAAAGACATATACACGCAGTTTCTATGAAATATTCAAAGTTAGACAAGCATTTTTTGTGGAATAGACATTTTGCTTTCTTTTTCTTCTTTTAGTGTTTTTTTTGCGGCGACTATTGATACGATTACTATTCGTACCCTTTTTTCCTTGGAGTTCGTTGTTTGCATAGTTGTTGTGTTTTGAATGTGAGAAAATATCAATATGTTAATTATTAGAGTGTTCTGTTCTTCGAATATTTGATGAAACTGATACCGATGCAATGATTACGTGAAAGTTTAATATCATAGAGAAAAAAAGGAAGTATCTTGCATATTCATTTCATTCTTGTCATATGGTGCGTACTCGTCAACCTAAAGGAAATAAAACATGTAGATATCTGTTATATGATTTTTTTCAGTGTTGTTCCCTGAAGCAGAGTTACGCAATGAAATTGACAAGCTTCGTTTTCTTACACGTATGCACATTCCGATGGCGGTGGCTAACTTTCTGCAACGATAATTTAGTTGAGAAAGAAGATTACGTTTTGCGTACGTTGAGTAGGTTGGCGTAATATAAAATGTGAAAATCAAGCAAAATCAAAACGGCAAAAGGTAATCAGAAAAAGATGTTGAAAATCAGAACTTTTTCAAAAACGTCAAAAGATGTGCCCACCATACTGATGAGCACACTATCATGTAAAATCGACAAGACAAAAACTTAATAGGAAAATCGAAAACTACCGAGGTCTTCTTCAAGGTAAAGTACAATGTCTTTTTACCACTTGTTCAAAGAGAGTTCAGAGCTCTACGCCTTCGTAGTAAAAGGCTGCTCTTCTTGTCCCCTTGGCGTAAAACCAATATCCAAATCCATGCCGGTAATCATTTTTAAACTGTCCTATGTACTTGTTACCATCAGTCCACGATTGCTCTCCGTATCCTGATCTCTTGCCGATAACAAAATCTCCTTTATATACGGAGCCATCGCCATTATCCACAATCCCCTAACCAGTCCTCACACTATTTTGAAACGATCCCACGTGCCGCTTTGGCCCGCCGTTAAAGTAATAGGCACCTAAGCCGTGCATCTCTCCATCACGCCACTGACCAACATCCACGTCTCCATTGTTTCAATTTTATTGGAATAAAGGCTCCTATTCCATGTTCCAGGACATCGACCATATCTCCGTAGTAGGTACCGTTAGAATATACTCGAGTTTGATTTTTTTCTAAAACAAACCAATGAAGTACCACA